GCATTTGGTTGATATCATGCAATGTCCCCGACATCACAGCTGGCGGGCTGGACATCCATATCCTCCCCGCAGGTTATCCATTGAAGAGCCCTCTCATACCGACCCCAGCAGCACAGTTCATACTGGCGCAGAGCCTGGTGAAGGGACAGATCAACCCACGAAAATTTCTGACAGAACAAGACCTGGAGTCGTTGCGCATCCTGTTCCCGAGAGCAATCGGGGCCCAGTTACTGATTGCAGGCTTCCTTCGCATGTTGTTCGATAGCATCGCAGAGGTGGAGCGGACCCACAGCCTCGGCTACCCGGGTGAGGTGGGCGGGCTTGTTGTACTTCTAGATACGGCAACGTTTAGTGCAACAGCCCAGAATATCGAATCGGGTGCAGTTGTCTCGGATACAGAGGCAAAATCGGTCGGGTGTTTGGGGTTGAAGTTGAAATTGCCAGGAGGAAAGACGGTTTTAACGACGGTGACCCACGCTTATGTGCGCAATCCTACGTTGCCGGTGGTTCTCATGCGTGTTGCAGATTGGGTGATTCGGGCGAAGAACGCACTCTATCGTTTTCGAAATCCCCACTTAGACCGGGATTCTCGCGCGTACGGTGTATCGGACCAGAGCCTGTCCAATAATCCGACGGGCAAGGATATTCTGCTCTTTAAAACGAATACAAAGGTATTCCTCGTCCGGGGGAGCCATACACTCTCCTTAGGGGGCCACGCTCACCATTATCATAGGTCGGGACCATTACCCACTGCTTCGACAACCCGAGCCCTATACTCCCGTTTCCGGTCGGGTACCGGCATGACCTCTCCTTAATCGAGGGAGAAACTCTGCCTGAAGTGGTGAGCCCTCCTGGGTATCCCATCATCTCCGCATGGGCCCCGTACGAAAAAGTCCTTGCGGGGGTGCCGCTATATGCTGTGGCTCTCAATGCTCAGACACAAAACTGGAGAGTTGTTGAAGGGGCAAAGGTAACGCCCGCGATGGTGAATTCGGTCCTACTAGGAAGTGAGTATGTTTGGGATGGTGAAGCGAGTGATCAGGCTGTTGCGATGCTATGGCGGTCTAAGGATGATGTGGACAGCGCGGGAGGTTACTCTAGCTCGGTGCTGTGTACCGGCACCCCGACAGATCAGCATGGCGAAGCTGTCGTTTTTCAAAATTATGAGACTGGTTTAAGGATGTGGGAGTCAGAAGGATCTTCGTTGCTCGCAAACATAAAAGCCGGTTTTCTGTTACCTAGGGAGATCCGTGAGTCGATAATAGTGGTCCCTGATCCAAAGCGACCGATTAGTTACAACACTGCGTGTGGCAAGGGGAGCGTCGACAAGCAGAAAGACGATATCCATCAGGTCTCTGACCTATTTCGCAAACGCCATTGTCAGGGACCATGAACTTTGCTTGCGAGATACGCATAATAGATCGAGGAGGGCTGGGAGAACTAGGGTGAAAGGACACTAGGCGGGAAGCGCTTTCGTTACGGAAGGGGCTAGCTACTATCTGTATTCTGTACTACGGCTGCCCTAGTAGCAAATTATCACACTATGTGGGTTTATCTCATTTACCGTACTCGGTACTTGTACTCCGTATGTGACTGGCGCCACAGTCTGGTTATTCAGGTGAGGCTGTGCCTAGGGGTTGCGTGTTGACAAGGCAGTGTATATAACCCTCTCCATACCCGGATCTATCTTGCTTACTTCTTACAACAATATACTCGCGACGTCTGAAATCCAGGTCTACGAGCGACTTGCTCACCAAGACCGTCAACTTGACGCTTACGCGAGCGGCCGCACGAAAATCCAGGTTCGTTTTCCCCGTCTCTCAACCAGCGACCAATAGGCCAGTGGATAGGAAAATTGCCAATATTTCCCAGAGAACCCAATCGGAAAGCAGGGCGCATTGGTCTTTCTTGTCGACCGCAGCGGATAAATATGGTTCGCGCTGAAATTCGGAGATTGTCTCACCCTAGAATTCATCAGCAACGAGGTATGCTTTTGGATTGTGGCCTTCATGTTGGCTAAAGCTGTTATGGGAGTCCACAATCGAGGCTGGCGAGTTCGGCGTGTTTCCTCAACTTGCTGGGTGGGATCCATCTTCAACAAGCGCGATAACTAACCGCAGAATACTTCCTACAATTTTAGCATCTTGCCTTTTTAAAAATTCTCCATTTGCACCTCCAATGACGAGGTCGATCAGCCTTATACCACGGAGGGTAATGTAGATCAAGATTTCTTCGCTTCCTTCGCTTCCTCGCCATTATCTGATATCAACTCCTCGGCTTCGTCCAGTCACTGATAGGGGTGCGCAGCGTGATACTGAGATCTCTGAAGGTGTACTGATTCCTTCTCCAAGGACTAGCAATTCCTCGGAGAGCTGCCCAATCTATTCCTTCAATTTCCTCGCTATTAGTCATCCCTACAGAGCCCCCTGCATCAGTCATCAATTAACATAGGCAAGCCCACGGGGAGTGGCCAGGTTAGTATCAGCAGGCCAGTGTAGCAAGAAGAGACAAAAGGAGAAAGAGAGACAAAGAATGATCTGGCCTGCACTGGGCAGTTGCATGGTCTGTAACAACTGACCCATGGCAATTGGCACACCGGTGGGCGCTTTTATGAGGCTGGGACTTTTTATGATTCTTCTCTGTGTGGTCTCTAGGCCCGCAGAACCGGCATCAGTCTGATTCTCTTCGTCGTCAGGTCCAACTGGTCGGGAGCGAGGCGCCATGGTCACACAGCTCGCGGGAAACTGGCAAACAAAGGAAAGCCTGGAGTAGGAACAAAGAAGGTGAGGATAACAGCGGTTCTGTGGACGAGGACGGACTTCGAAAGGACTGGAAGAGCTGCGAGAGATGCTTATGGTAGGAAGGATGAAAGCAGAGAAGGACACGGTCGGCATTATGAGACTAATAACTGGAGAGAGCATGATGGTCGAGGGAGGAGCCAAAAACGGCTCCCCTCTGCAGCGACCGTAGTGAGAGCGTTTAAATAGATGATTTCGAACAAGATAGCAACAAAGAGTAGCGTCAAAGGGCATGAAACCTATGAAGCCGATATTTCGAGCCCATGGGGCGCAGACTGCGAGGACGAAACATTGATATGAATAGGTGGATATGGTAACCCAGCCCCATTGACGTGGCCTCCCTTGCGCTTGTCTCTCCCCAATTATCTTGCTCTTCCTGGTATAATTCGTCACGAACCGCTTCTGGCAGGTCCCTGTGACTTTCCAGAACACCGCCCTTCTCAACGTGGCTTATTAGGCGTTTGATGTGATGGGATTTGAGTGGGTAGTGCTTTTCCCCCATTGCATTTACCCAGCAATGGGGCCCATGCTGACACGTCGGCGGTCAAATCGCATTAGACTATAGACGCTGCGCCAAATTGGCTTCCCGCCAGAGGTACTTTCCTCGGCGTCCAGCTGTGCGTCTCTCTCACCAAGCATTCTTTGTGTGACAGATGACTTCCCTCTTTTCTCTCCTTTCCGGCCAGCGGATGGAGATTGAGAGGAACCGGCCAGACGATATAATTCAAGCCAATCTAGAGCTTCATGGCTGTTTTGCGTTACAAACAGAAATTCCCAGTCGCCCCCAGGCTTAAATCTAGAGGCCCAAAACGTCTGGCTACTCAAAAGGCGCATAAATGCCCTCGAAGCCACTCGGAGCCCTACGGCCTCTTCTGTAGGCAAGTAGATCGCTATCGCCTCTCGCAATTCCCATGGAAGATTGCGAAAACAATCTGTTGACTGTGAGTTTGTTATGAGCACTAGTGACGTAGGAGAGCATTCTATCAACGTAAGAGAGATTTCTAACACGCTGAATGGATCATCTAAAGCTTGCTTCCCAACATTCGACCCATAAAGTGGGTCGGTAAGTATTTCATGCCAAGGGTATCCCTCGATCTCGATGTCCCAAAGACCATTATAGGTGTGGCCCTAGAAAATATTGATTGCAAGGCCAGTGAAGGGCAATGATTCACATATCTCCATGAGGCGATGTAAAGGAACATCATCGGACTTCAGGATTTGTTGGAGAAGGTTCCAGCAACTTTCGTGGATAATGAAACCATGAGTGCCATTCTCTGTTTCACGTCTCACGACAGAAATTCCTTCATCTTCTCTCGGAACATGATTTGATCTAGGTCGTCCCATAGCTTCAACGGATCGAACGGAGCAAAATAAATGCAGGAATCCCGGTCATCCCGCCGACCTACTCCAGTCACAAAGGTGCCTTCGGGGCTTGAGTAGACTACATACGTCAGACCAGGGATGCAGGACGACCAGACGGTTCATGCCTATTCGATATTCCGTCCACCAGCGTCGGGTGTCTAGTCCACGGGAATCAACCTCAAATCCATCACGCAGCCAAATATACGATGACTCATAGCTGGATCGCGTAAATGTTGTATGATTAGGCGTAAAACAGAACGATGTTGACGGAGATGAGCGATACCCGCGCCCGATGATCATGAGTCAGCAGCTTTGACCCCTGCCAGTTCTTGATAGACTCATTTGGCATAGGCATACGGAGTAAGGAGTCGTTAGTTGCGAAACTTCGAGAGGGGCACCTTGGCAATTTCCGTCGCTTACATCAGCTTTTCAGGCGCCACAGGTGACTTAGGAAGTGATCGTCCCGAGAGCGAAATGAATTTGATCCATTATTTCAGTCGTCAATGAGCATCAAAGCCAAAACTAGCAGATATTCACTGTGATATATGTACATACATCTATATTTCATTTCCCGTCCTTAAATCAGGTCCTTTGCTATGATATTGAATCACATACAGAGTATCGCTCACCAAACTCCATGCACAGACCTTGTTTCTGTGACGTGGACAACTAGCGCGTGCTTCATTGCCGACGGGCACTTAACTCGTATTTTCAACAAAAACAACGCTTGGAGGATGTCTTAGCCTCACCCTTTAACATAATTGGCTTTAAAGACTACTGGGTACATCGACCAGACACCTTCCGCTCATTCGGCAGCAGTTCACCGACATTGTATACAGGATGAGCGGGGTCATTCTTATGAGTTCAATCAATGAGATGGAGAGGAGTCATACTTTGCACGGAGAGATGAGTTCATCTCATGTGGAAAAGCGACAAAAGAGCGCCCAGGATGATGGCCTACCTACCCCACAACGCGATCAATATACGATCGCCTGGATTTGTGCCCTGTCGATAGAAATGGCGGCAGCTCGAGCCATGCTGGATCAGGTTCACGAGCCTCTGCCGACAACCCTTGAAGACAGCAACACATATGTACTTGGAAACATTAAACATCACAATGTCGTTATCGCGTGCTTGCCAGCAGAGCAATACGGGACCAACAACGCAGCAAATGTCGTGACCAACATGAAGCGCACTTTCCCAGCAATCCGTGCGGGGCTGATGGTCGGGATTGGCGGTGGCGCTCCGGGCAAGGTAGATGTCCGGTTGGGTGACGTTGTCGTCGGAACAAGGGTCATGCAGTACGATCTTGGCAAGGTTGTCGGAGACGGGAAGCTGCAGCGGACAGCAATCCCTAGAATTCTTCATCACTTGCTTGGGACAGCCGTGTCGAGTCTCCGCTCAAAACACGAATTGGACCCCAGCCGGATTTCATTCATCTTGCAACAGAAACTACAAGGTCACTCTGCGTACGGCCGACCCAGCACACCGGATCGCCTCTTCAAGGCGGCTTATCCCCATGCAATCGCGCTGGCTAGTTGTGATGAATGCGACCCTTCAATGTTGCAGTACCGGGGCGGACGAATTTCGAACTATGCGACGATTCATTATGGCGCGATCGCTTCTGGCAATCAGGTCATGAAGAGCGGCACCACCCGGGACATTGTCGCTGAACAGCTGGATGTTATATGTTTCAAGATGGAGGCTGCTGGCCTTATGGATATCCTTCCTTGTCTCCCGATCCGAGGAATATGCGACTACTCAGATTCTCATAAAACCAAGGAATGGCAGAGATATGCCGCGGCAACCGCGGCCGCATACGCGAGAGAGTTACTTGAAGAGTTATCTGTGACCGAAGGCCGTACACGGATTTCTTCGGGAATTAATCCTCGTGAGTAAGCCTCCGACGTTTGAGTGACGAGCTAAACCTGTCAACACTTACCCCTATTATGTAGAGCAAGATCCTTCGGACACGCGCCGACAGAGCCTGTTGAACTCCCTTAAGTTCGAGCAAATGGATGCTCGTAGGATAACCATAACAGCAGCCCACGCCAGGACATGTCGATGGTTCCCTAGTCACCCCGAGTACGAGGCATGGCTTGATCCTGCTAGACTGAAGCAACATCATGGGTTTCTGTGGATAAGTGGGAAACCCGGTGCTGGCAAGTCAACAATGATGAAGTTCGCATACTCGAGCATGAAGAATAAAGCTCCTCACAACCAGTCTGTCGTCGCCTCATTTTTCTTCAACGCTCGAGGTGACTACTTGGAGAAGTCGATCTCGGGAATGTATAGGTCATTGCTGCTTCAGCTACTTGAAGGGTATCCCAGCCTTCAGACTGTTTTGGACGACCTTGATCTTGTTCCGCAGAATCATAATGGCTGCCCGTCCTTGAATGTTCTCAAAGAGCTCTTTTATAACGCTGTTTCCGCTCTCGGTCAATCACCTTTTACCTGCTTCATTGATGCTCTCGACGAGTGTGACGAGCAACAGGTTGTGGACATGGTTCAGTACTTTGAGGACCTGACTGAACAATCCACAACCCACGGCATCCCGTTCCGAATTTGCTTCTCTAGTCGACACTATCCATATATTGGGCTCCAGCGAGGTATACGACTGACACTAGAGAACCAGCTAGGACATACAGAGGACCTAGCAACATACGTTGCCAGCCGTCTCCGGATAGATGACCCTGCCCTTGTCGAAGAACTGCGACCCCAGCTTCTTGGCAAAGCCGCCGGTGTTTTCATGTGGGTTGTTTTAGTTGTTGATATCCTTAACAAAGAGTATCGACGGGGTGGTCTGAGCTTGAGAAGGAGACTTGCCGAAATACCGAGTGATTTGAGCGAACTTTTCAATGACATCTTGAGACGTGACGATGAAAACATGGAGGAGCTTCTCCTTTGCATTCTGTGGATTCTCTTCGCAACGCGACCTCTGCAGCCGAGGGAGCTTTATTATGCTCTCTGGTCTGGTCTTTCACTGAAGGATCTGGCCGATGGTCAGATCCCGCCTGTTACTGTCCCGGATACGAGTGATGGTCTTAACATATTTAACAGATGTGTTATTAGCTCCTCGAAAGGAATTGCTGAAGTCACCACATCAAATCAGCCAACCGTTCAATTCATCCATGAATCTGTCCGGGACTTCCTCATCAAAGACGGTGGTTTGCATAGATTATGGCCTGAACTGGGTTTTGACTGGGAGGGCCGAAGCCATGAGATACTGAAACAGTGCTGTAACATGTATATGAATCATTATTTGATCCATGTCACCACTAGCACGGTCCTTTCAGAACCTGAATACAACGTGCGAAGCGAAATCTCGGAGAAGTACCCGTTTCTGAAATATGCTGGTCGGCATATTCTCTACCATGCCAACGCGGCGGCAAAAGTGGTCCCTCAAGCCAATTTCTTACGTTATTTTGCGATGTCTAACTGGATCAGCATCAACAATTTGTTTGAACGGTCCAAGGATCGTGAATATGATCCATGTGTAAGCCTGTTTTATGTTTTGGCAGAGAGAGGGTTCTCCGACCTCATCCGCACGAGTTTTAAAGCAGGCGGCCCTTTGGTTGGGGGGGAGTATCAGGGCCCGCTCTTTGCCGCGTTCGCCAACGGGCACAAAGACACTATCGCCGCCCTTTTCAATTTGCCTTCTGTCATGTATGATGGTATCGACATTACAGAGGGCCTGGAATCCATCGAACTCTCGGATTATGAACATAGATCGCCACTATCCTGGGCGTCTCAAACTGGTAGAACAGGCATTGTCAAGTTACTCCTCCAGGCAGGAGCCCCTGTCAATGAGATAGACGCAGGAGGACGTACATCACTCTCCCTTGCCTCGGAGAAGGGCCACGACCAGGTAGCACTTTTGCTTATCGAGAATGGAGCAAAGCTTGAAGCCAAGACCAAGGACAGGTTAACACCGCTTTTATTGGCTATACAGGGGGGCCATGTGGCGTTGTCAAGGCTTCTCATCGAAAAAGGGGCAAAGGTTCATGCAAGGGATAGAAAACACCGAACAGCATTATTCTTCGCCTCAGAGATGGGTCACCTGGCGACGGCAAAGCTGCTCGTCGAGAGAGTTGACCTTGAGTCCAGCGACGCCCATGGATTTACACCACTCGCCATCGCTACGAGGGAAGGCCACGAGGAAGTGGCGAGCCTTTTAATTCACAATGGAGCGGATGTCAACTCCAGCGATGAGAATAGACAAAGCCCCCTCATGGTCGCTGCATTGGCGGGCTACAAGTCTATTGCGGAGCTGCTAATCAACAATGGGGCAGATGTCAACGCAAGCGATAGCTATGGACAAACTCCACTCACGATCGCTGTATCGGGGGGCTTTGAGCCCATGGTAAGGCTTCTCATCGACAACGGAGCAGACATCAACACCGGTGATAGAAAGTCGCGGACACCGTTGATCTTGGCTTCCGCCAAGGGCGACGTGGAGATGGTGAGGCTACTCCTCGAGAAGGGAGCAGACCTTGATACCAGGGACGTAGGCGGATGGACACCACTTGAGGTCGCAACGGAGCAAGATCACAGGGCCGTGGTGAGGCTTCTTATCAGTAAATGAGGCGGCGAAAATAGTAGGTAAGGCCAGTCCTTCATTACTATTCGCATTATTCTTAGAGTACTCCGTACCCAACTCGTTACTCGACGTGAAGATCCGAGAACTAACCGATTCGCAAGAAGATAAGATTTATCGCAATTTAGAGCAATATAAATGCCAGAGCCCAAAGAGCCAGCTTAGTTCGTCGAAAAGTCATTTCGTTGCATAGTATCTCTAATTCTAAGGATACACTGATACTTACCTGGCGAACCTCCGCCGAAGAAACCCCCCTTTTGGATATCCTAGGATACCTCTAGAACAACTGATGCAAGTCAGATTAACTTCTCTAAATCAGTATTGGTACCGCATTCCATTCCAGACTCAACACCTTGTATGGGATCGTCCCCCAATCATCCAACGCTTGGCCGTATCCCTTGAATTCCTCTTCGCTATCAGCAAGCGCTGTGTAGAACTTGCCGGTCGCTTTTGCAATGGCCAGATCTATCTTAGACGCCTTGTTGCGATATACTCGGAACTTACAAGCGGTGTAAACAATCAGGCTTTCGGTATTCCGGTATAACTCCTAATATAGACTAGTCTGTCTTGACAATTAGGGTTTGAGAAATAATCGAAGAGTGTAAGTGGTGACACCAGTTTCGGGAAGTACTGTATTCTCTCTGCAGAGACTAATTCTTGCTAAGTCCAAGTTTTCCGGGGGAGGTACTCTTGTACCTCTTCGTCCCTTAATCGTGCCTGTCACGAAGATGTGTTCAGCTAGCTTCCGAGTCCTCTTTCGGACACTGGCAGTTGTCAGGATGATCACATGGTCAACCCTTGGCAACCCTCAAAGAAGCTCGAGACAAAGAAGTTAAATGTACATCAAGATCTTGGTTCATAGTGCTTTTCCTTTACAGAATTATCGAGACAAACTTTAAAGATTTTTACTATAGTATAGATACTAGCTACGATAGCTCTAAGATGTTAACTCTAGCGTAGAAGGTAAAGTGGATAATACTAAGGACCGGAACAGCTAGTAGCTAGTCCGCTTCTTTTAGATTATAAGCGATATTGCTTAGATAGGGCCTACTATCCAAGTGTCCGGTGAGCATGTCGGACTAATGATATTAAACCTAAGCTGATGATATAAAGTGAGAAGAGACTTGGGTTTAGGTAGACAGATTGTACTAGAGATTGGTGGGAGAGTCTAGGAGAGAGCACGGACTCCTATTATCATAGTGACTAATCGGACCCAGCACAGACTTTCATGTATCTAACATGACGAACAGGCTTATGGGCCGCAGCATGCTCGTTTCTTGTGATTCTTGCCCCACTCATTTTCTCCCATGAAAAAGGGTGATTCGATGAAATCCTCCGATACTATGAGTGGTGTATCTTCGAGTACGACACTTGGACTCTTGGGCAAAGGTGGTCACGTACGTACATCTGTAGTTGTTGTGTAGTCCAATGGCCGCGCCAGAAGCTCTGGGATAGGCTGGATGCCACGATAGACGGACGCCTGATAACGGTGTCTCTGGCCTTGGTGTGTCATGATTCATAGTACAACGAGTATTGATGTGCGGTGCTGCAGGAGTGGTGGTCGTGGGCGCGATATCAGTACTATTAATGCAACCCATCCTCATGCTACGCGAGCACGTCGAGGTCAATGGCTACGGGCCTATTTACCTCCACCAGGCGGTCTACCCGTTGCTTAATAAAAGCAAGAAGCCCATGTTTGTGGGAGTCACCTACGATTCATAATCGGTTTCGGTTGCCCAAGTGGCAGCCTCATACGCAGCGGATGTCACTACCCCTGGGCGGACGAGATGCCAAAGAAATAATCATTGAAAGATAACTTCTTTATCTGTATTTGGAAAAGTCTTCGAAAATTTACCCTAGCTGGCTTGATGAGATTCAATCTGAGGTAGTGAGTTAAAAGGGAAAAGGATAATAATATTACTGGGTCATTCTCATGAAGTACTAAAGAAAAAGCTAGAAATACGCCTAGAAAAAGTCAGTAACATCTATCAGTCATAAATCGCCTAGTAGTTGCGCTGGCTGCCAAGAGCATCCTTCTCGTTAACTCTGGGGTCAAGCTTGTTCAATAGATCGGAACCGTGGGGACCAGTGGTCTTCCCGGTCTTCGAGGTTTGGTTGTTGTAGCTGCTGCCAGCACCGGCTCCGTAAGAGTAATTGGCGCCATAGTCTGACTGTCCAGTGAAGCGGCCAGTGTTACTGCCGTAATTGTCGCTTCCAGACACCGGGTTGCTAGAGCCATAACCGGAGTGACCGGTGGAGCTACCATAGTTGTCGCTACCGGAAAGTGGCTTGCTCGAGCCATAGCCAGACTGTCCAGAAGAGTGGCCAGCGGTGCTGCCGTGGGTGTCGCTGGAGCCATAGCCGCTGGTAGAGCGGCCAGTATTGCTACCGTAGTTGTCGTTGCTAGCCAAAGGGTTGTTGGAGCCATAGCCGGTCTGTCCAGAAGAGTGACCGGTGGTGTTGCCGTGGACGTCCCTGGAGCCATAGCCGGTCTCTCCGGTAGAGCGGCCAGAGTTGCTGTCGTAGGCGTTGCTAGAGCCGGTAGTTCCGGCATGCTTTCCTCGATTGTCTATATTGTATATCATGTTAGATATTTGACTCTAGTATTATGCTTTTGCGAGGCAGCCAGTAAAAGGCAAGCTTAACTTACCGAGATAGCTATCGACCCTGGAATCAACCTTGTTGGCTAGCTTGGAGTCATGGGGGCCAGCATTGGTGCTGGAGCCAGTGTTGGATGAGCCATAGCCGCCAGCAGCGTTGGATCCATAGGTATCAGATTTGCTGCCGTAGTCTCCAGCACCAGTATTAGATGGGGTCTCATAGCCGGGGCCAGAGCCAGAGCCATAAGTGTGTTTGCTGGGAGCGTTTTCCGTGGTGTTGTGCGAGGATCCGTAAGTATCTCGGGCATCTATATGAATAGAAATGTTAGCATCATAGGACAATGCCTTTTTAATATAAACGACGAACCATCAATATTGCTGCTGGATGTCTTAGATGCATCATGATGATGACCGGTCACGGCATCCTTGACTTTGTGAATAATGTTAGACATGACGAGGGAATCTGCTGTGATACTAAGGTAAAAGAATTGGAAAGACTGTAGTTGAAGTTTGAATAGATTGTTTGAGTCAGATGATTGTGAGATCTTGGAGAAAGTGCGAGACAAGTGCTTCTGGTCGCGAGTTTATATGCTTTACTGTCTTTGCTTGTCTTGATCAGATCACGAGTAGATCCCTGCTTGCCGAAATTGAGTGACGCCATAACGCGGGGGTTCAACAAGTACAACGGCCGATGAAACATGGATCAGAGCGCTTCGACTGTCCTGTTTACAGCTTTCATGACGTCCCAAACGGGTTTACCCATACAGAGAGACATACTTGGCTGAAAGTGAGGAGAGCTATCAATGTCATCCATCGTCATGTCCCGGATCTACAAAAACGAAGCACGCCACTGAGCCAAACCTTGCAAGGATATGTTGTAGATCCACACGGCCACATGCCGACTGTGAGTTCATTTCAAGTGGGCTTTCCAGAACTTCGTGCCAATAATTCTCCGAGTTTGAGTTTGTTATGCCGTGGGCAATAGAAGCTCGGTTCTGATGGCTTCATAGGAAGAACCTATGGTGCTATTTGTAATCCTTTGCTCTTATAGAAGTCATTAGTAGAAGTATACAAGACAGACAAAGAGATTCTAAAATGATTCCTACAATATACGCTAGTTCCTTTTTAGGCCATATACGTCATAGGTCCATATTTTCTTACGCTAATCCGTATACGGTAAGTGGGGACAAATTTGAAAGCTTTATCGATCGCCGAGTCCAAAAATATCTCACGGGTGTGCCTCGACACAATACCTAATATTGTACGATGTAGAATGCACTAAATGATTCGACCAGCTACTACAATAGTCTTACGATATGAGTACGCGTAAATTAACAACGCGATCCAAATCGAAATAAAAAGGGCGGTGGATTACGTAGTCACCTAGAAAGGAGGGCATGATCGGCAGTGGAAGCTCTGGGTCGAAAAACCTTGGAAGTGATATCAAAATCAATTATCAAATTTACAATCTATGTCTGTTATTGTGAGATTCAAAAGAGGCCCGAATAAAATAACTATATATGTACCATGCTATCTTGTTAATGTATTGTGACATTGCACAAATCTCAGAATTTGCTTTAGTGTCTATTAATGGTCAATTTCTGTCTCACAACAACTAGATATGTAGTTTGGACTCTTGTTGATACAACGTACTGTATGCTCTAAGGTTGTCTTTCGACTTATAAGCATCTGGTGCGACAACAGTGGAAGGGATGCCCAGCTGGTATACAAGTGGTTGGTGCCACTACAGCCCCCGTCCGTGGACCAACCTTGCGAACCTTAGGAACCTTGGAAGCTCTAATATCAAGATTGGTTTCTTCCAATATTCCAAGTCCAAGGTCGGACGTATGTATGTATGTAGTAAACAGGGTCATGTGATTTGAGGCACCAAGGCCAACATTATGCCTTAGGCTTCCAACACATGACACGGCGGGTATGCCGTCACCGACCCGGGGTTAGATAATCCACATCATGAGTTCACTTCCCCTTCTCACCTGACTGACTTCACTTGAACTCCCTTCATCTCTGTATCTCGTCTTGTTGTTCGCTTTGACTTTCCCTGCCTATTGTTGGCTGTCATTCGTCGACTTTCTCCAACCAGCCTTAGTGCTGCTCATTGCACTCGATGAGTTGCCGCCTGCTAGCTTGGCGGCAACTGTTGGATTGGTCTTAAAGAGTCCACCCAAAGTACTGTGATACAGCGGAGCCGGTGGCATCGTCTCATTCACTCGATCCACCCTGTTTTACTGAGATTCGATCAAGCCACTCTTCGATTATAGTGGTTAAGACCATCTTCAGAGACATGCGACCGCCACGCCTGCTCATCGTCCTCTTCTGCCTTATCTTCTTTCCGATCCTCCTCACCTTCTTTTCCGTGCTTACATCGCCCGATGTAGCAACTCCTAACACGTTCACTGGTCGCACAACTGGACTGCGCGCTTTATTTTCTTTCAACATACCATCGTCCCTTTTCCCTCCGTCGGCCATTATCAGTCTCACCGATGACAACTCGACCTTCTTCCTCGCCCGGCCAGCTGCATTTGGCCCGCTGCTGCCAACCAAAGGCCTCAGTGGTCAGTTATGGGTGGGAAGTGGCTTTGGTGAGGGGGGATTAGTTGGTAACGTGGAAGGGGAGCTGGGCTGCTCCGATATTCCCGGCTGGGGAGAGGGCACCAACCATAAGAAGCAAGACAAAACCTCTAGGAGCGTGGAGCAGAGCTCCGGGATCTCCGGAGGTAGTACAGTGAATGTTTTATCATCAAACCGCCCGCGGTCGGTGTCGCAGGCCGATACCACTCCTCAGAACGATAGAGATGACCCAACCACCCCGCCCTTGACGAACGATGGCACCGACGATCATCTACATCATCCACTTCCCGAATCCGGTGCTTCTAACCCAGGGATGAGTCAGAAGTATGGAGACTATATCCAAAACAAGCCGCCTGCGCATGCCGACATCCAATCTCTACAGGAAACTGCCGAAATCCAAGGTAAAGTGGTGCTGTTGAGCCGGGGTGGCTGTGGGTTTTTGGAGAAGGTCAAGTGGGCGCAACGACGAGGAGGGGTTGCTTTGATTGTCGGCGACGATACTCGAGGTGGCAACTTGGTCACTATGTACGCGCGAGGCGATACATCGAACGTCACGATCCCGGCATTGTTCACATCCCACACTACTGCTCATCTTTTATCGTCATTGGTTCCTGGACATGCCGGTGGAACTTCCAGTTTGGGGGATGTGTTAAAACCATCACAAGCGAAGTTGGCAGGACAAGCTGACGGCGAAAAGGAACGGGTGGCAACAACTACAACAACGCCAACAACTATTCCAAGTTCCACTGCCAGCACCCATTCGACGGCCAAACCTGCGCCCTCATCTCACTCAAGAGGCGGCTTTTTCCGTGCAATTGGTGCATTCCTAGGATTGTGCGATAAGAACGGAGGTTCGCGGCATCTGGAAGACAGTCGGCGTCCGCCCAGCAGCGGCAACATTGACTGGATCAACCTAGGTTCACCGGATGACAAGGAAGCTCCGTCGACTGCTTGGGGAAGATCAACGGATCTCAATCATCGTGGTTGGGCCAAGGTAGACGACGCATTTGACAGCCACAAGGCCGACATGTCCCCTGACAGTTTTGAGGATGATGACTTCGTCATCGGGGTTCAGGACTGGAGAGATCCCGACTTGATGCCTCCTAAGAGTAGCACACCCTCGACAGCTAGCACCTCTTTAACTGGCAAGGATACTTCTAAGACCGCCAGCGCGGATAAAGACGCGGCTTCCTCGCCCAATGGTCTTCAGGGTGGTAGCATCACACCAGGGAGTGGAGAATACCAGAGCATCGAGAAGTCCAGTGCTAGTTCTCACGACACGCGTCTCACGGGGGCTGAGATATACTCCATTGGAACCTATGGGAAGGCCGGATCCTCTACGAAAGGCTGGTTCTCGAGTCACTTTGGATGGGGAGATGATACTCAGCAAGACCCTCAGCCTTCTTCGTCGCCTTCACTTCAGAGAAGCATTGCAGCAAACCAGCAGATGCAAAATAGCCCTCACACCTCGGGCCGTCTAAACGCCGAGTCTTCCGAGCACGAAGGTCTTTGGGTTACCATGACACCCACCAGCATGTCCACCAGCCCCTTTTTCGATACTCTATTGGTCCTTGTCATCAGTCCTTTGCTCACGTTGACGGTGGTTTATGCCCTTTTGCTGATCCGGTCTCGAATCCGCCGTCGTCGCTGGCGTGCCCCGAAGTCGGTTATCGAACGACTTCCTGTCCGAACCTACCACACAATTACTACCACTTCTTCCTCGTCTTCCAATTCAACTCGTCCCCCCAGTCCCGGTCCCAGTCCCGGTCCTCTCTCCCCGACTTCCCCACTCCTTGGCAATGAAAGCCGGCCAAGCGTATCCCGATCGAATAGATCACGTTCACAAACATTCTCGGGCACTATGCTAGACTCATCTGTCGTGCCTAAAGAAGAGAATTGCAACCTGCAAAATGGATCTACGTTGTGGCGACGCAAGTACACAGGAAGGCAGGTGGAGTGTGTCGTATGCCTTGAGGAATATATCGATGGTCAGAGCCGGGTCATGAGCTTGCCATGTGGCCATGAATTCCATGTGGAATGCATGTAAGTGACATAGTGAGATTGGTCTTTGTTCTAAAGTTTTACTAATCCGTTCCTTCAGTACCCCCTGGTTGACTACTCGTCGACGGACTTGTCCAATCTGTAAAGGCGATGTTGTCCGTTCATTGGCCCATTGCCAATCCGGTGATTCTCGGGGTCATCGTGATCAGCGCAATGATGACGTCCACAGCGCCCAGTCGATCTCTCGAGGCGGTGCATCTTCCGCTCCAGTACTCATTGAAGGCGTCAATGACGATGCTTCAGATACGGAACAAAATGCAGGTCTACTTGGCGATCATGCAAATTCTGCCCCACAATCAAGCTGGCGGAACCTGGCTACTCTTAGCTTTTCTGCTTTGAGTGGCGATACGATATGGCACCAGGCTCGCGCGGACCGTAATCGCTAACATCTATATTCTCTCCACTCTTTCCGAATTTCTTTTTTTAACCATTCCCCCTTCGTCCCGTGGGAATTTGCTCTCCTTGTATTGAAGCATGCTGGATTAGCGGTCGTCTGGAGTTTCTTGTGATTTGAATCTGCTTGGCGTCGGGTGAGAACAGTTCGGCGTGCTGGGCAGTTGCAAAGTGCCTGCGAGCATTGTTGAAGCGGCTAGGATATACCGCGGGTCAATCGTTCAAATCTTGTATGTTTTTATGTTCTTTTGGTAGGATGGATATCTGAATGGATTCCATTGACACTTAGCTGTCATTGACACTATTGCTATGCCATGACTATCTGATCTGTTGACACCAAATAACCATATCGTCCGTACACACGGTTCTCTAGCTGCAATTATGATTGATAGTAATCAAAGCTGTTTAG